AGGACACATCTAAAACCTGCAGGGACACCGGCCCTCATGGACTGAGATTGCCCACCCCTGAGCTAGACTATCTGATGGCGGTGTCAGAAAGACTGTTGCTGTCCAAGTCCAGCAACAATCTTATATTGGGCATTCCTTCACCCCCACATTGATGTGCTCCCTTCACCCTTCAGTCTGTCTGCCGGTTCGATTGGCTCACCACTCTCAACTCTTTGCCAACGAGATTGCTGACTCTGGGGGTTTGTGTCAGTTGAAACTGCTTATGTGTTCAAGGTGAGTAGATTCTATGGTGCAGTCTGCTTGTCAGTACTGCTGTTATGCTAACACTGGGTGATGTTTCCTGGACTTTATACACCAAATGACACCAAGGTGTTATTCATGTCATCTATGTTGATGACATTCCAGTTAGATATACATTTTTGTTCATGTGCTTTGCATTTTATTCACAGGGCTCTGCATCAACGTTATGACGTGATTCCTGTGCAGCACCTAAGGAAGTAAACAAAACCAGATATCCCAGAGAGAGTTCTCCACTTTTCTTCTGTCACACTGGCAAAGGACGCAGTGCAGGAGGTCTTAACAGGCAGAGAACTGCTTTCTCTCCTAGCTTTCTCTGTGCGCATCTTAGCCACTTGATCTACAGCTGCTGGAATCAAAGATGTGTAGCATCTAGAGCTGGACTTTGTGTGGCAGAACTGACAGTATTTGCCAGATCTTTGCCTAACAAGGAGCAGAGCATGTAGAGTGGCTGTGGTTGCCATGGAGCCAAGGGATAAGAAACAGGTGAGTCTGGTTGCTTAGATTAGCAAATGCCTTTGGAACGTAAATGTTTCCTGTGTGGATGCTGTTTTAATAGACAGCTACCTTGGTGTTTAGAGAGACCTCAGGAGATTAACTGGCTGTAACATCGTCTACCATGGGTTCTTGTTTTTCCAAGGTTTTTTGTTTCTTCAGAGAGAGCAATTTTTCTGCAGACGTATAAACAGAAACCACTGTGATACCAGAAGTGTGTTGGATACAACACAGAGATGTATATGTGCAAATTAGTGCTAAGTAACAGGCTAATAAAATATTCGAATTTTGCTAACTCAGAGTAAGTGATAACATTTTTGCATTAAAGTGAAAACAAAACACTAAATGTATAAAGGCTAATTTGCACAATATAGCCCTGCCTTCAGAAACAGACATAGATGAAACACTGTCTGTAGCTGGATATAAGAAATAAGTGCTTGAAGTCAACTTTTTAAAAACATGTTTAGAGCCATCTTCTGTTAGTATGGAACGTCATGTCACCGGATTGGGTGGTTGTTGATGTCAAGACTCACATTAGTTTATTTTAGCTAGCTAGTAACAGAACCAATAACTCAGGGGAAATTAAAGACAAAAAAAAAAAACAGTCTAAAGGGATCACTCTTGTGCTGCCCCTGGCTTCAAAAATGAGTGCAAAATCTGTTCAGCACTATTTTATGCAGTAAAATAGTCTCTCTACCTGTGCATCACACCACAAGAATGTTTCTTGCAGAAACACGTTCGAACATGCTGTCTGCAGGAACAAAACAAAATCTCCACACTGATCCTTCTATCCTTCACTTCCATTTCGCTTTTCCTCATTTCTAAAATGAAGCAATCCAGTCAGTGAGATGACACGAGAGGAAAAAAACTCATTTTCCCAGCACACGTGCTTATGGGATTCCTGATCGTGCTTTGGTAAGAAAGATAGTCATGTTTATGGTGTGATGTGCATGTATTAAAGCTGTTTTGTTGTCAACTAGATTGATGTGCGTAGGAAAAGAGAGACTATTTTATTGCATAAAATAGAACTGATTGCATCAGCTGACTGGTACAATCGACTAGATGAGGAAAAATAATTTTCTTAATCAGGGTTGTCGGTCCGGTGAACCACCTGTCACCTGACTCAAACAGGCTCTTCTCCACACAGTCCTCATTTATAAGGTGCATTACAAGCCCGAACATTATGGTTAACAGGTGGATTTCCCTGGTTCAGTGCAGAGTATGTCCTTGGTTTTAACATAAAACTGATTGTTGCAGCAAGAGACAACACAAAAGTGTCTATTGACTGCAACCAACCCACCTGGTGTCATAATGTTCCGTACTGACAGGAAATGGGGCTAAACATGTTTTTGAAAGTTTGACACTTTCAAATAAAGAAGAGCTAATTTTCAATCAATAGTGGAATAATTGTTTGTTCTGTCCTGTCTGGCAGAATTGTTGTCTGAAGACCAAAAAATGGCCAACAGATTTACTTTCCCTAGTGGACCATTATGACATTTACTTTAATGGTCCACTTGATGGTGATATTTTGTTAGGATCTTTTTTATTTAGTGTTATTGTAATCACAATCTGCTTCAACAACTGCTGGGAAAAAATAACACAGCAGAGAAACAACAGCAAGAACCGACATATGCATAAATAACAATAAATAATAAATGTTACTGAACAGCACACAGTACTAATAATACAAAATATATTTAGAGGCAGCAGCCAAATAATATGGTGTGTCTGTGAATACCTGTTTGTACACCTCATAGGCCCTCACCCCCAGGGCGCCTGAGATATCCTAAGAGAGGTGGAGTGTAAGACCTGACACAGACAAACAGACACACAAGAATCCATTCACTCCCTCATGCACACATATACAAATACTCACACACTCATCCAACATGTAGAGACACAGAAATGAACACCGTACACACACTCACACTCCCCAGACACCCTCTATACTCCCATGTCCAGGCACCAACACCCACAATAGTGGTTATAATTGTGCTAATAATTGTGGTTTTTGAAATTCTCAATTTTTTTTATTCTATAAGCTCTGGCATTTTGCAGCATATTTACTCTCATACTTTCTGCTGTCGGCCGTCAGCCTGGAAGCTGTATCATTTAAACATCTGCATATTTTAATACAACTGGTTTACTGCTGTGTAAAACAAACAGCAGTGTATAAAGCAGCAAAATTTTTTGTTTTTTTCCCAAGTCGGACTTTGTTGATCAGGTGATTTGATGAAGGACTCCCGCTAGCTGTTTCAAATTAAAGGTTTTAAAGTTGACTACAGGAACAGCGCTGCTGTTTTGGACGCTAGAAACATGCTTTCTTCCATCTACCTGAGCTCTCAGTAATGGTGCTGCCTCTTTGCGCCTCGTGGTGTGTAAACAGACTCCAGCTCCATATTTAACTATGCCAACGTTATTATCACTGCCGCTGTTGTTTTATCATGCTTTTTACTGAACAATTGCGGGCTGCATAGGTTTAATGTTGTAAACTTTTTATTCACACACTGCTCCTAACCCTTCCCTCTGCCCACTCCCCGACTCCCCCAAGGCTAATCAAGCCTACCTGTGGGACTTCTAGAATTTTTGATGCCCAGCATCAAGACTAATGGTGAAACAAAGGATTTTTTTTTTTTCATTTTTAAAATCGACCAGTATGACTGGATTGTTTTATTTTGTTGTCGTTCTTCCAGGAGGAGGATGCTGTGACTCTGGGCCTTTCAACTGGCCAGGCTCTTGAGAAGCTCCGGGACCAGTTAAGCAGCTTGCTGGAACAGCATCAGAGAGTTGCATGCAGACGAACATCTGTGCTGGTACGCACACACTTGTGTCTACACTTTTAAACCAGTGGTCCTTACTTTAGAACCTTATTTCCCCGTTTTGGATTTTCCATATATGTGGCTATATCTGTAAATTTGGTAAATTATGCTACATGTATGCACTATTCCTTGGATGGCGGTACCTGGTGAGGTTAACAACTTCACTGCTGTTTTCTGTTCGTGCCAAAAAGGAGCTTTTCCCCTGATATAAGATTTTATGTGTGTGTATATGTATATATATATAGTTACATACTTGTGAGGCTGTGTGTACATACACATGTGCTCTGTGGAGGCACACTACTTTGTAATGTAACATGTTGTATATTGTTGTGCTTACTTGCTTTTGTTTTGGGGACATTTCCATAGGAACAGTGGCAAAATAGCTTCCTTTACCATGGTAATCGTCACTCTTGTGTCCATTGGCCGGGTGCTGCTCTCACTCTGCTGGTGGTGGTGGGACTCGTCTGTTGCCATGGTAGCCAGCCGAAGGGGAGGTATGTAACCTCTTTTTGGGAATCCTCAATCAATCAGTCAACCTGTTATGAGCAATTAATTGGTTATAGTGGGAAGAAAAACAAAAAAAAACAACAAAAAAGTTTGGTTTTTTTTAACACGAAGAAAAAGGGAGGTGAGGGAGATGGTGGTTCATGGTCACCTGATTGTACTGTTAATTTGATAAGGTTTATCATAATGGAAAGAAAAGCGTCTGGACTTCTTTAGACTAAAGAAGTCCAGACGCTTTTCTTTCCAAGCTCCTTAGAATGTACATTTATGTCTTCAAGATAAAGACTTTTAAGACTTTGTTTGAAAAAAAAAGAAAGGTGGCCTATAATTGACCTGATGTTAAATAAATAGAGATTTAATCAAAGCAATTAGCTGGTAAAACTTATTTGAACACTTTTGTAAGAATGAGGTTTAAAAAGCGCATTGATGCTTTAGAGCAGGGTTACTCAAGTCAATATGGCTGAAGACCACATTTGAGGAACAAATCACAAATGAGGAAATTTTGAAAAAGGCTGAAAGCTTGTGTTGACATTTTGATAGCTCCATGTCAGTTTCCCATTTTTAAACATCTTCAGCAGCATAGTTAGAAACTTTCCTATCATCCAGACAAATGGACGACATATCGTTTTATTGTAAACAGTTTCTAGGAATAGACTGACCATATTTTTCAGTTCAACTAAGTTTTATTCAATTTATATAATAATGTTTAGTGCCAAATCACACTGTCTCAATAGTTCTGCTCTGTTAGTGTGAACACTTTATAAAATGCATTGATTCTATTAGCTATTAGCATAGCTACAAGGCGCAAACCCTCAAATGTTGGAGAAGTTCAGAATTTAAAAAAACAAATACAAACTGATGCTGTAAGGGACTACTATATTTTAGTCATTTTAATGTTTAAAATAAGCAACACAGGTGTGGGATCAGATGCTCAAATGTTAAACAATTCATGCATCACACACTGTCAGTTATTCACTACATGGCAAGGCAATATCACTTTGCTATAGTTGGTCTGAATATTCAGTCCAGATTCACTTGTGTGAATGATTTTAATTTTGAGAAAGTGTAAGAATGGCTGCAGGTTAGTCAGCACAGTCCAGAGTTGGTCCACGATTATTCCTTGGCTAAACTATTGTGGTTATTATCATTCTGCTCCTTAAAAAGCCTTCAGTGATTCAAAACACCACAATGAGAAAACTAACAGGCACTGGTTCACATGACCCTACACCATCCTGTAGGTATGCTGCCTTAGGTAGAGGGACTTGATGCTATGGATATTCCTGGTGACCAACTTCTAAGTCGACTAAACGACTAGTCTAAATCTAAGGAACACTCTTAGTTAGCTATCAAGTTAAATCTAAAAACTGTTTAATGGAAAATGTCAAACTATACCAGGCTTGGCCAACTGCAGTCCTCGAGGGCCGGTGTCCTGCAGGTTTTAGAGCACACCCTGGGTCAGCACACCTGAATCAAATGATTAGTTCATTACCAGGTCTCTGGAGAACTTCAAGACCTGTTGAGGAGGTAATTTAACCATTTAAATCAGCTGTGATGGATCCAAGGACACATCTAAAACCTGCAGGACACCGGCCCTCGAGGCCTGGGTTTGGACTAGGGCTGCCACAAACAATTATTTTGATAGTAGAGTAGTCACCGATTATTTTTGCGATTAGTCGACTAATCAGATCATCATCCATTGGACATATCTTATTGCACCAGCAGCATCTGCTCTTATATAACTATCATTAGTAGTGATGGTGAGATGAAGCCTCATGATGAACTGAAGCTTTCCACTAGTGATGGTGAGATGAAGCCTCATGATGAACTGAAGCTTTCCACCCAATTGGTCGACTCATGGTTCGAAGCATTGTGATGATTCATTTGCTCTACTGCGCCATCAAGTGGACAATTCAAGTGAAGCGGGCTCTGTGATTATAATGATGTGTAAACCTCTAAACTGAATAAATATATTGTTTTCTTGGTTATTTATCCCGAATATTGTCTCAGTATGTGTGATACAAAAGAGAAAGTGGAAACTATCAGGACAGAGT